CAGTGTTTGAAGACCTTCTAGCAGGCTGAACAGCAAGAAAACATGTTCCAAATCTCCTAAACAGCAGGTTTCAGATGCTTGAAATGCGAAGCAGCAGACAGGAGAGGTCTGGACAGCAGTTTGGCCTTTAAGGGGTTCTGGACGGCAACATATAATGCCTGTACAAACCTTGGACAGCTGCTATAGGGTGCTGGAAGTGTTTGGACAGCAATTCTAGGTCTCCAAAAAGTTGACGGGAGGATTTTATTTTATTTTATTTTTCTAAAATTTATTAAAAATTTCTTAATAAAGACATTTATTTAGAAAAATTATTATAATCAAATTAAATTGTAAGATTAAGATTAAAAGCAAATATTATAAAGAGTGAAAGTTAAAAATATTTTATTTTTCTTTGATAGAAGTGAGAGTATTTTATTAGTTACTTAATTGAATTTATATATTAAATATAGAAAGTTTATTTTAGAAATTAATTAAATTATGATTTTCTATATTTAAATAATAACGTGGAGAGAACAAATTCTATTATTTAAAAATATAAATTATTTAAATATATTTAATAACCAATTAGGGAGAGATATGATTAGATATATAAGTTAAAATAACCTTATTAAATTATGTATTATTATAGGTGATTGAAATCAAGAACAAGGACAAAAAGAGCAAAAGATATTTAAATCAAGATGAGTATTCATGTTCCTATAAGGTATCGTCCGGGCCGATGATTTACAGCAAGCTCAGAAAAGTTCAGCAGATGGAATTTTGAAGAGTAATTATATTGCTTCTAATTGCATAAAATCAAAGAATGTAATGTGAATGATATGCTTATATGTGCATGTTGGTTGATGGAGCACACCCCTTTATGGTATTGGCTGGGATGCAATGCATCAATGCATATAAATGAAAATGATTATGAAAAATAAAAAGGAAATGGAAAAGATCATTAGTTCTATTTTAGATGGTGGCTCGTGTGACGATTGTATTATTTATGAGAAATGATAAATATATAATATATGCATAACATTGAAGTCATGAAACAAAATGATTAAATATAATTACTTTATGATTTAAATCGAGCATGCATATTATTCCCAGTGCCTTGTGTTACTATAATCTAGAAGTATGATTTACTCACTGAGTTATTTTATGAATTACCCTTTTCAATGAAAAATATTTTCAGGTTTAATTCGATTAATTAAAATGAGCAAAAGCGAAGAGAATGTATATCATATGTGAGATGCTTCGAGAAAAATGTATTTTTATTATTTGAATTTTAAATGTTTTAAATTTTTGTGGCTCTTTTAGTTTATTGGAAATAGTTTTAGCAAATGAACTTTAATCAATCGCCCGACAGTCTGTTCTTGTCTACTTAATTCGAGCCTCCAGGACGGGTCGTGACTCATACGGATCTTCTTGCGGATCTTTTATGTTATGAGGTTCAAGATGGCGGAAGACTAGCAACTTTTTCATGTGAATTATGTGCTTATATCTATTATTTGAGACATGCAATCAATTTTGTTAGCTTAATTAAATTTTTTGTTTAGCTTAGCCATTGCTTGGTAGCCAAATTTATCTTGGATTTAAGATAAATCCTGTAAAACATTCATTCTTGTCAAAATGAATCCGCCATAATTTGAAATCTTGTTTTGTCAGTATTCTACTCAAAATGAATCTGCCATAATTTGAAATCTTGTTTTGTCAGTATTCTACTGTAAATCCCTGATTAATAAATTTGGGAGTTCAACATATTTGCGAGTAGACCAAAAGTGTGCATAAGAAGAGGATGGAGGGATGGAGGAAGAAAGTAAGCTTCCTAACGACCTCTTGTAAAGACTTCCTCGCTTTTTTTAAATCTTCTCTAGCGACCTCCCATTGAGATTACCTTGCTTTTTTTTTTTCCTGACGGGGATACTTTTGCCACTGATTTGCCATTGCAACTTCCTCGAAATTTTTTTGACAACTTTGGGTACATGTAGAAGGGGTGCAGGGGAAGGGGGCCCGACATTTGTAGCTCTATTACTACTTTGTCGTTTTGGGTTTTGGGAAATTTGGGTAGGAGAGGAAGAGGATAAATACTATTTAATTTCACCACTTGTTTTTTTAACTTCAAATTAAAAGGTATATCTATTTAATTGAAATTAATTTTATTTATAATTAAATCTAAAATTAAATTTAAGTACATTAAAGTTATAACATGCATTTAATTTAATATTTTTTATAATCAATCAAATAAATTAGATACAAATATATTAATAATCAAATCAATTAAATTAGATAAATTAAATTAGCCTTTATAATTAATATTAACTGATAAATGATATTATTTGTGTTTAATGGTCACTTAGAAGTTATTGTGTTAAATTAGTTTAATAATTTTGTAAGTAATAATTAATTGGAATATTATTTACACTCATTATGTTCTCATGTTTTAACTTCACCATCAATAAGTATTATTAAAATCCTATGTGAAGTAGCATACTTAAATGTTAAATCCTATATTAAATACTCAAACAATTTAGCAGGATTTAACTTTTTTATGCCAAACAGTTTTTAGTATTCATCTGGTTTATGATTTACTAAATCTGGATTTACAAGACTAACTAAATGTTACTTGCAGCCAAACAGCCCCTTAATCTTGTATGCTTAGGATTTACTAATCCAGATTTACAGGATTCACTAAATCCTGTTTTTCCAGTTCAAAGACAGCTTTTGTTTTTTTCAGCATGATTTTTTCTTATAAAATATTCTTCTTCCCTTATCTCTGCTCAATTAAACGTTGTTAATACAGATGAAACTATACAAGAAAGTTTTAACTCGTTTTATTTTAGGGGAGGAGAAGTTACAATTTGGGTTTACTTCATTAATTAGAATGTTCTTTGAATAAAACCTTGTTTTTATTTTGGGCTCATCTTTATCGATCTTTGATTTCTTAAGCTTATGGTCTCTGCAATAACTACCTTCATATAACCAACAATATGAAAAACAATTGCTAGATATTTTTTTGGGGTTGAAGTAGCGTGTATGATTCGTGTACTTATTTTCATAAGTGGAGTGGCACTTCTGTTCTCAAACCTTTACTAATTGTATGGCAATAATGCGTTCAGGTTGCATCTTGCTCTAAGTGCCGCTATCAGTACGAGCTTGTGTCGGGAGATATACTTAGCATTGCTTCAGAAGTGACGAGGTCAGTATTTTTGTGCTTTTACTTTAGCTGTATGATTGGAGTACACCTAGATTTCTTTCTCTTGCTTTTCATAACCAGGAACTCTTCATGGAATACCTTCAAATCTTGACCTACAAACTCTTTTAGAAAGGAGTCTGTATATATATATGTATATATATCTGTTAGCTTTAAATGAGAAAGGACTTGAATATTATTTTTGAACTCGAGACATAAGAAGTGATATTATTCTGGAAAGTGAGATCATTTCGTATGAATTGATAATCAACCTTGATGTGCTTGGTCCTTTTATGGAATACATTATTACTTACAATATTTATAGCTGTATAATTATCTCAATACAAAACCATAGGTTCAATTATTGGAAAATCTAATCCTTCCAATAGAGTTTGATTCATATCATTTCACTTATATAATGAAACATGATTATATTTCGCTTCAACATTGAATGTGCTGTAATTGTTTGCTTCTTGCTCCTTAGGCAACCATATTACCTCCCACGAAAATACATTACACTGATTTTGGCTTTTTATCATCAATAGACCCAACATAGTTGACATATATGAATACTTCGATGTTTAAGTGCCCAATTTGAATATACAATTCTTTTTCAAGAGCTTTCTTTATGTGTAAAATATTACAAAAAAATAACATCTCAATGCTTTTATTTTGGGTTTTGCATATTTTGACTTTCAATTTTTACAACAAAAGAGAGATTTAGTCCTATTATTTACAGATATGTTTATTTTTCAAATAATCTTTGTTGTTGAGATGGATTATCATATGTTATATCTTCCCACATATATTCTCTAAATATGATGTGACTATCCATAGGGGCGTTCGTTGCATTGCATCCTAAAAGTTCAACTCTTCCATAAGATCAATGACATTTTTTTTTGAGATGAAAGGACTCATTTCTTATTGAAAGCTAATTCAAATTGTTGGTTATAAAATAATTCAATAAGTATTGCTTTACTTTAAGTTTGCTTCTTTGTCACTTTCGACAACTAATATATCATCTACATAAACGACTGGTACTACTTTAGTAGAAGAATGTATGATTCATCTTTGTTGAGAAGCCACATAAGAACAATATAATTAGAAGCTTCCCATTTTGGGAGCTTAAGGGTATCATTGTTGTCTAGAGGTGGAACATCAAGATGATATTGTATGTCTTACAATCCGACAAGAAAGTGAAATGCCCTTGATCATTGGAGATAGTTGGTTATCATTAAATTTAACGGTGGTACCGATGATGGAGCAGGGTTTGTCTTAGTATGAGAACAGGCGGAAGGGCAGACAATGAGGAGAGATGTATGGTTGGTTAAGAGTTACTTAAGTTATAATAGAAGAAAAAAAAAATCAATTTTGAAGTAAAAGAGATGCCCATGCAATGAGCTAGAAAAGAATCGATGATTGTGGGGCATTGAGCGGGTGCATTTGGGAGTAGGACTCATGATTGGCTAAGGCATGCAGGAAGGAGACTTGCGAATGTGCGGTTAGGATTGGGACACGTGTTTTGCAAGGATGTGTAGACATGCAAGTGCTAGTAGGCTTTGCGCTAGTATGTGAGGACGTGGAGTGGGTGCATCTGGGAGCAAGACTTGTAATTGGCTGAGGCATGCAGAGAGGAGATATACGAGTGTGGTTAGGATTGAGACACGTGCACTTGCAAGGATGGATAGACATGCAAGTGCTAGTGGGCTCTATTGGTAGTATGTGTGGATGTGGAGATGCATGTGTGCGAGGACACAAGTGATCATCCTTGACTTTGGAGTGCAATGATGCAGAGATGGATTTGTATGTGGATTGGTGCTCAGGCAAGAGCGATTGAGTGCTTGGATATGAGATGTTGCTATGATGTTATTTACTAAATAACGTTGCCTATTTATAAGCCTACTAGTTGATTGCGATAAAACGAAAATTAATAAGAATAAATATAATTAAATAAGAATGAATGTATATTATTCCAAAATAATTATTGTCCTCAGATAGTGATTTCCAAATATTATTTCCTAAAACACTAACAACATCATGACTCGCACACATGAATTTTGCTATGCTTCATGGAAGCTATTTGAAATCCATATCTTAGATACTTCTAAATAATCAATTGAGTCATTTAAAATGTATAGTTGGACTTGTGGTTTTGATTCTGCGGTATTGACTTTTTTCTAAGGATGTGCTACTGACGAACGCAGCATGGATGCTTCAGCATGGGAGAAGGCTTTGAGACTCCTACGAGTAAAAAGAGACAGCAATCCTGCTGCCATCCACTCAATTGTGGTAAACATTTGGTTCAAGTTATTCAACCAATTCATTTTTCCTGCATTCAGCTTTTTTGGTACCATTTTTTTCTTAGAATATTTTTTTGCTTATACTGTTCTAATTTATTGTGGCGAAGTTCTGCAGAACTAACCATTTTCTCTAATTCTAAATGTTGTCAAAGGCTTGCTTTGGAAGTTATCTAAATCAACTAAGTTCCAATTTGTGCCATGGAAAATTGTGATTTCTCATGTTGACATAGTACAATTGTTTTATGAACTACAAAGCAATGATCCTAAGATTTTGCGTGAGGATGCTAATGTTATGTTGGAAAAAGTGCCTAGTGATATTAAAAATATTGTAAAAGATTTGCTTGGAGTTTTAAAGGGAAAAACTTCTAATAGTAAAAATAGTTGGTGGTGAAATCCAAATGTGCAAGAAAAGATAAAAAATAAGAAGATTTGTATTAAAAATAGTTGGTGTGGTCCATGGCTTCCATCTTCATATAAATTTGAAATTTATGGAAGGGACTAGCATATTCATTCTTCTTGGCCACCTTCAATCAACTAGGTTTGCACGTATGCACATTGTGATGTCATTCTTGTTTGAAAACCAATGGAAAACCATATGGAAGAAAATCTCAATCATACATGGATATCTCCTTCACATGAATTGAAAATGATTCACTTAAGATAGATTCTCATTATCTTTAATTTTATGGATGCTTTTTTTTCGCTTGCGTTGGCCCCTTAAGGCTAAGGGGTTTTCTAGTTGCAGATAACTCATGCTAGACTCTAAATTCTCTCGACATTGAAACATGCTAAATTCATGACCAGGAGAATGACATTGTTGCCAAATTCAATTTGGGTGGTGGGTTGATGTTGCATTTACTGGTTCCCATACCAATGTTGAAATTTTCAAGAAGAAGAAAAGAAAGAAAGAAACCTCGGATTTTCTAACTTTAATGCTGTGTTTGGAAATGAAGACTTATTCCCTTTGGTGTCCAACTATTAGGTCTCCTTATGAAATTGGTCATCTTTGTTCTTGATCTATGTTTGCAATGTGTCTCCATACAGGTGCGCACACCTTCCGGAATAGCCTCCACAAATAAATTTGCCACCAAGACCGTAGAGCTTCCTGCTCAAGAAGGGGAAAGAGTGACAATTGTATTGGCTGCTCCAGCGAACATCTATCAGGAGATTGGTCCATTAAAATTGATTGCTAAGCCTCCTGAACTCAGACCAGGGGAGCCCATGTCTCTCACAAACCACACTACCGGGCAAGTGTCACAGTTACTAAGAGCTCCTTTTAGTGAGAACTCTTTTCTGTCGAACCCGTCAATTCTCTTTACTTCACTTGCTGTTCTTGCTAGTGGAGATGCTGCTTCTGGTTTCATTGATCCCAGCCTTCCCAGACTCATTTCTGTAGTTGCTATTGCATCATTGGCAGTGGGGACTACGGTGAACCGTGTAATTCTTCCCCAGTTAAGTAAGGTGATGGAACTTAATTTTTTTTTCTTTTTTCTTTCTAATTTTTGGCTCATGAAAAAGCTTCTTTTTTGAAAGTCGATTCAGTCTTTTATCCCTCCTTGTCAACTAGGTGAACATATACATATAATATAAACATTATATGTGCAAGATACCTTAATTAGTCGCAATGTCAGATCTTCGAATTTGTCTGAGCACATTCTTATTTCCATACTCTTTAATTTACAGCGATGGATGCAATTTTGCATAGTCATTGATTGCTTCCTTATACTGCTGTTGGGTTAGCTTTAGGGGAAAGGAAAATTGTCCCTCTTGTCAAGTCTAAAGGAACCTATTTTTTCATAACATTCCAATAAGCTTGCATGTTCCCCTAGAATTTCGATGCGTGCTTTTCAATTACAACAAACTTTTTCCAAAACAAATTCATTTGCACATCAGATCCTCCCTAGCAAATTTAAGATATCTTTTGAAATCTATGTGCTGTTTATGGTGTCCTTGTTTCATTTTTTCAGCTTCCCAAGAGAATCGTGGACATAGTTAATCTAAAACAGCTACTTTTATCACAATATGACCTGCTAAAGTCTAGGATCAAGGACCTACGACAAGAAGCAGAAAAAGAGGTTTGATGATAATGATTTATCTTCATAGACAAGAGATGCATTTTTTTGAGGGCTTATTGAATAAAGCTGTAACTTATTTGCTAAAATTTAGAAGCGTCCTCAACTCTTGGATTTCATTTTTGAAGGTTTGGATGCTTGCTCGCATGTGCCAGTTAGATAACAAGATCATTGCAGTAGGAGAACCATCCTATCGGTAAATTCAACTGAGCAATCCACTAAAACGTTTATTGATTTGTTGACAATACTGGACAATGTCCAATGAGGAAATTATCATGATCAGTCCTTAAATTAAATCTGTCTACTGGAAAGTCTTCAAGTGCTAAGACATGTGATTTTATAGTGCTCGAAGAGCTAGAGTCAAAAAAGTTTGTGAGAGCTTAGAAAAATCCATCTCAGCGAGGATTGAGTTAATTGATAGCTATGCCAAAGTAAGTTTCCAGGATGACGCGTGAAATTTGGTTTGCATGGTTTGCACATCATTTGCTGAACTATAAAACTGTCTCCGTTTGTTTCCAGATAGCTTCAATGATTGAAATTGAAGTTGAAATGGATTCTGATGTTCTTGCTGCTGAAGCCATTAGTAATGCGGTAAATAATGTTTTTGCAATTTGAATATCTTAATTTTGTTCTAGTTTTTCCTATAACTTCATAGGGTATTTGATATGTTTATATTTCTAATGCAGGAAAGCATAGCAGAGCAGATACAACAAATCATGGAGATAGAAAATCTTGAAGAGGCAAGATTTATATTTCATGGATTGACGTTAAAGTGGTTCTCATTTTTCATCACTAATTATAGATGTATGCTTCGTTCTTATTGTTGAGCAGAGGTGGCGTATACAAGCTGAGGCTAATGACGAGGTGGAAAAACTGCTTAATGCTCCCCAACCGTCAGCTGAACAACCCTAAATATGTAAGTGATCAAACCAAATGTACTTTTTATTTCAAGATGTCTAAATTTTTTTAAGGCTGCTGATAAGAGTAATTGTCTCTGGTGGAATTATTTGGCTGACTTTGAAATATATATAGGATGATAGCATTATTATTTAGTTATGGAGCCTAATTTGTACCTTATGAAAAAACACTTGTAACAATCCAAATTCTTAACTATCGAGATATAATCCGTTTTGATCTAATGGCCTCATGATTTTATTCCATTGATGTACCTTCCTAGGAATTCACCCATCTTAGGAGTGTTCCTGTATGATCACGTTTCACTTTGGAGTTTCTAAAATTCCAACCATCACACTAAAAAATGCTCGGTGTTTAAGAGTTTAGTTTTATTTTTTGAAGGGTTTCACACATCTCATTCAAACTTAATAAACTCTACCGTCATATTGAAATGTATAGTGGTGATAACAAGACGTTAGGGGTGTAAAAATTGGTTGACCGGACCCTAATCTGGAAATTAAATCCTTAGTCTGAGGTAATAAAAGAATACATTAGATGAAAGATTTTGTTGAGTAACTTGAGAACACAAATGAAAATAATTATCTGATGTAATAGTCAAAATACAATTCAACTGATAAAAAATAAGATATTTCATGAATGAACAAAGTACATTAATATTAAGTTGCATTTTATCAAAGATATTCTGGCTGAAGGCACTATGGAGATTTTGAAAGCTCATGCATATGAGAATCTTGCTAGCTTATTAAGGTGGTGTCTGGAACTAAATTCTAATATTGTCTAGCTCTTCTTTAGGTAAGTAGACCTCCTAATTATGGAGGTTCTAGGAGAAAGAAGGGTTTGACTCATCTAAGATTTGATTCAAGGTGGAGATTGTTAATTAATGAATCAAATTTAAGATATTTTTAACTAATTAATAAATTAGTTTTAAGTTTTTGTTTTAATTGCTATCCAAATTTATTCCTTGTGTAGTTATTTACATTTCCTTTTGTATAGGTTTTTTCTTGGCATTTGGTTTCTTCCTTCTATTAAAGTGGGACCGAACCATGAGGTGTACAAAATCGAGAGCTAGAGGGAGATTTGAGTGAGTTAAAAGGCAGGCAGAAGTGTGAGATCGAGAGCTTCTTTCTTGTTTCTCCTTGGATTATTTGTGAAATTGAGGGATAAACAAGGAGTGCGAGCGAGAGAAATGTGCGTGTCTATTACTGCAACTATGGAGCATCTCGAGGGCGATGTTAATCGAGAAATTAAAGTCTGTGATTTTGATTTTGGTTGGCTTTATTAGGCAAGAAATAGAATACATCAAAGAGTTAGATCTAACATATCATTTTCTTTATTTTGGCAAAAAGATTTCATCAAGTGATATTTTCTTTTACTCACTTTGTTTAGCAAAATAGGTATTTCTTTGAAGAGGTTTACCACTTTACCTAGATCTAATCTTGTTTAGGTTTTGTAATTTGTTTGTGCAATTAATAAAATATAAACTTTTTTTTTCTCTCTCTCTATGAATGTATGCACAAGTATACCAAATCATGTAATTATTTGTATTCTTGATTCTTATGACTTATTTTATGTTTTTGGATTAATTTTGTTATAGATTACAAGATAGTATAGATTTGATAGAGTTTTTCATATATGTAAGTTCTTATTGGGTTAATTTGTTTTTGTTTTACAAATCATAATAAAATAAATTTGATCAGCCGCAATATTAGTTTAATCATATTTGTGGATAGTTTAGTGGAAATGAATATGACTAATTAATTAGTTCGTTGTTTTTTATTTTTACAATTAGAAAATTAACCTAATTCTTTAAACTAAAATCAAGATTTCCTTAAGCTAATAATTTTGTTCTAATTGCAAAGAGAAACTATTTTGTAAACTTGTATATCTGTTTCTTTTATTTAAATGGTTTGCGGGTGCGTATTTGCGAACTTGGAGTAATAGATCCTTCTACACAGATCCTTCTACACAACCTGTTCCCTTATTTGAAAGTCTTAGTTTCAGTCTTTTTTTGGAGATAAAACTCACAATGGGACCTACGTTTTAAATTAAAAAAGAAGATACAAGTCCTTAAGGGGACCTAGAGCCACTACTGCTCAAAGAGCTACATCGAAAACGTAAGAAAACCTAAGGCATCAGTACCCTTCCACAAACATCGGGAAGAGATCTTACCAAAAAGTTAGCACATTCAACTGAAGATGGATAACTGCAGCAACCAAACAGCAATCAAGAACCTGCAAGAAAAAGAACAACTCCACACGCAAATAAATGAGCACCAAATCAACTAGGTTTTAATATTGACACTATGTTTTAACAAGTATACAATAACAAGTAGCTTTTTATTGCACATCCTTCTTTCATTCGTATGAACAGCTGATTAATCTATTCAAAACCTGTCTCCTTCAGTCTCCAGGTTCTTTGGATAACTGTGAAGTTCTTTGATTTATTGAGGAATACATAACTACAAGAGATGGATTCTCAATCAGGATTATGTGTTCCTGGCCAAACCTTAGAAACAGCATGGCTTAATGTTTTTCTGCTTCAAAGGCAAATGCTGCTTAGTTTTGCAGAGATGGCGGTAGAAACAGAGAAGTTTTCTTATGCTCTTAAGCTTCATCCAATTTAAAAGCTTATTACAGTTTATTGCTCACAGGCAATTCGCTCTGCTCTTAACCTTTCAGTAAGTGGTGCTTGTTATATTTATTCCACAGTGATGACAGTCCAGATGTTTTAACATCTTAGCTTAGTACTTATGGATGATCAATGAGCTCATTCAGCAGCTTAAAAGCTGGAATTATTTTAATTATATGGAAACCTCAGATTGGTTCCAGTAGCCTATAATTATTCAAATTGTGAAATAAGATTATGGAAAATGATTGCATCAGAATATCCTTGTTAAAGTGTTTTTTTTTTGTCATGATAGATATCATAACTGGTGGATTAATTTTGAGATGAATGCAAATTATTTTGATTAATTTCTTATATTATATAGTTATTTCGATCAAAATTTGGTCAGAATATGTCGACCCAAATTTTTTTGAAGATTTAATTGAAATTTTATAATTTGTGCAGATTAAGATTTCGTTTGGGACGGCTTTCTTACTGCTTCATGCTTCATGAAGCAATTTTTTAATACAAAAATTAAAACTTTTGTATTAGAAGCTGTTTTAAGAAGTAGTAAGAAAGCTGGAAGGCTTTGTTTGGGATGACTTTGTTATTACTTTTTAAAGCAGTTTTCTAGTATAAAATTTTTAATTTTGATATTAAAAAATTGTTTTAAGAAGCAGTAAAAAAGTCGCCCCAAACGAAGTTTAATTTGTTAATCTTTTTTGCAACATGATTAATGATATAAACAAATTTGTGCAGCATATCATACATCTGATAGGAAAATATTTAACACCTTTGTTCTTTTTTCTCATTTTATCTCTTTATTTAGGGTCTATTTGTGACAATTTTATCAAGATTTTGCTCTCTTGTCATAGTTCGATTTGTCTATAATTTTGTTGCTATTTTTTTTTTATAGATTTTTTTATTGTAATTAGTATTAGTCAAATATTCCAAAAGAAAAAAATTAATAATATTACAATAGATTTACAAAAATATATTTTCATACAATAGTTATTGATAAATGTAACAGCCCTAAGTACACTCTAAATGATAAGTTATTTAAATACAAGAGGATAACATTGTGAGCATATTTGGATTTATACTAATCTTCATTATCTTTACAAACATTTAACTTAGCATGATTATAGTTTTGCTTGTAATTTAGTTAAGCTCATAAGATGAGCCTGATAAGCTAATAAGATAAATTTAAATTAGTCATAAATCGGCTATTAGCTGAGCTCATTTATTTAAAAAATATCAGTATATAGTACTCTTAAAAGTATATTAAAATTTGATGATTAATCTAAAATTATTTATTTATATTAAGCATTGTGTCGAAATATTTAGGGGTTTTTTGGGATAATTTTTTATTACTTTATTTTGTTTCATATTTTAATTACAATTTCATTTGGTTGCTTTCAAGAAATATTTATATTAGAAATTTACGTTTTACAGTAACATTAAAAAAAATTAATCTTCTAAATATCAGTATATAGTACTCTTAAAAGTATATTAAAATTTGATGATTAATCTAAAATTATTTATTTATATTAAGCATTGTGTCGAAATATTTAGGGGTTTTTTGGGATAATTTTTTATTACTTTATTTTGTTTCATATTTTAATTACAATTTCATTTGGTTGTTTTCAAGAAATTTTTATGTTAGAAATTTATTTTTTATAGTAAATTTCAAAAAAGTTAATTTTCTAATGATAGTTTTACAATCACTTTTATAAAAAATTATCGCTGTCTTAAATAATTTCAAAAAAAATATCAATGTATATTTAACTCCTTATGTAAAAAAATATTCTTCAAATAGACATGATGGACTGAAATAACATATTTCCTAATTTATGATTTAAATAAAATATTGGTCGAGGATGTGCAAAATTTCTGTTGAAATATATTAGCAGAGAGTGCAGAGACTTTTATTTATTTATTTATTGAAAAAGCATTATTTTGATTGATAATATTACTATATTAGTTTAATAGGATAGAGATAAAGAGAGTTTGGACAACTAATCTTGGCTATCCTTTCTTTCTTATATGGTGCTTAGCACGTTTGGAACTTTAAATCATTTCATTACTTATAGGTTTATTTAAGTATAAGGATTTGTGTTTATCTAATTATCTTTTTAGTAAACACTAATAAATAATTATGATAATGTTATCATTAGCTAAAAAACAATAATTAATTATACCGATATAGAAGGAAAGATCCGAGGAATTAACAACCAGATGGCGGATTTCTATCCACCATCTGGACGGCCGTGGCTTGATGACAATTACTAGTGGTGCTTACTCTTGTTCTGATTGGTGGCCTTGTTTGCGATGTGGGTCTCATTTGGGCTTTTATCTATGTGAGTTGTTGCTTGCATCATCGTGTGGATGGTTCTTGCCTGACTTCTGGGTGCTTGCAGGAAGCATTTACAAATTATTTAGTCTGGCTGGCTTCTTCGCCTTCTTCACTATTAGTTTTCTCTTCTTTGCGGATTATAGCCTTGTAATCTTTGCTTTGCTCTTTTTTGGAATTGGTTGTATCCTCTTTTTATTGAATAATGGAAATTATAAAATTTGTTTTAAAAAAAAAACTGAGGAAAGTTTTTCATAGTTTTGGTTATAATTTTCTTATGCTTAGCTTTAAGAAAATATAGGGAGATTTATGTGTATAACATAAAATTTTAATGTATTTTTATATCTAATATTTAAATTTATCTATTTTCTTATATAATCTTTTAATATCTTAATCATACAAAAAATATAAATATTTTAGATAAGTTAAAATTAATATATTTTTAAATGATTTTGAAATTAATATGTTATATAAATAATTACAAAATTAAATATTATAAATATATAAAAATTATGTGAAATGTATGCAGATTTATGTGAAATTTACCTAAGATAATAGTTTTTATTGTTTAAGCATTTTTTTTAATTAAAATCCCACGGAAGAGCCCTACGCGTTAATATAAAGCAAATTTCAAGTCCTAAATGACTCGAAAGCTCGCTAAAATACAACATTTGAATCAAAATCTAAGAGACTCAGAGTCAATCTAATTACAAACCAAACAGAAAGTAAGAACAAAACCAAAGAACCAACAAACAACAGGGAACAACGAACAGATCCCCACCAATCACGCAATCAACTGGCAAGTTCCTGCACAAGTCAAAAGGGAAAGCAAAGAAGAGCAAAACCGAACCATAGCAATAGAAGAGTCCGCCAGCCATCCACAGCACCCACCAAATACAAACAACCATACAACCAAAGACAACAAAAGTAACACCAAAAGAGACGAGAAAAAAGATCACTTCTTCTTCGAATTTTGCCTACGACATTTGCTTCCACCATGAGAAAAGTCTTTATTAATTTTACTACCAACATTTAAGCCATATAATTCATGCAAGTCATCCAACGACTCATCTAAAACATTTACAGCTTCCTCGCAGGATGAAGAACCGTACCCATCAAGCCAATCCGATTGCTCTATAGGTGTTTCGAGCAAATTTGAAGATAGTTTAGCCTTGATCTCATTTGAAGAAATAAGCTCGATTGGCACATCAACAACCGGCACCTTCACATTCTCCCCCAAGTTGCAGGACAAGTCCAAAGAAACAACATTCTCAATACATCATTCACAACCGAAACATTACCAGGCAATGCAAGAGCTGGACTAGGAATTGTAACATAAGCCATATTACCCTTAGAAACAATATCATTTCCATCATGAATATTAATAAAATTAGCATTAGAAGACAAGCGGGGACAAGCATCTATGTGGGTTGTTGCTTGCATCCTCCTGTGGATGGTCCTTGCTTGACTTCTGGGTGCTTGCAGGAAGCCTTTACAAATTATTGAGCCTGGCTGACTTCTTCGCCTTCTTCACTGTTAGTTTTCTCATCTTTGCTGATTATAGCTTTGTAATTTTTGCTTTGTTCTTTTTTTTTTTAACTTGTTTGTATCCTCTTTTTATTGAATGTAAATTATAATTTAAAAAAAAAAAAGAACCAAGGAAAGTTTTTCATAGTTTTGGTAATAATTTTCTAATGCTTAGCTTTAAAAAAATATAGGGGAATTTATATGTATAACATAAAATTTTAATGTATTTTTATATCCAATATATAAATTTATCTATTTTTTACATAATATTTTAATATCTTATTCATAAAAAAATATTTAAATATTTTATAAAACTTAAAATTAATATTATTTTTATATGATTTTGAAATTAATATGTTATATAAATAATTATGAAATTAAATTTTATAAATATATAAAAAATATGTGAAATGTATGTAGATTTATGTGAAATTTATCTAGGATAATAGCTATTTTTTATTATTTAAGCATTTTTTTCTTATGATTTTATGAAAATGGGTAACAATTATGATGAAATTATAATCTATTAATTTTTTTTAAGATAAATATAATATTAAACTTAATTTGTTCTATATATTACTGATATTTTAAAACAAATTTAAGTTACCAAACGGTCTCCGATTTTAACGAGCTTATACTCGAATCGAGCGGCTCGACGAGACGAGTCCAACGAACCCAAGATCACAGAATTCTGACATCATTAAGGCCTTCAAATGTCCAACGAACGGTGCACGATCGTAGGATTCAATATCGACCGTCCATTCGACCACTCCCTATTCGCCCCTGATCTCACGCCTATTTACGGGTCATGCCACTCCAGAAAATCTATAAATAGAGCCCTCATTTCTCATGAGAGGGGGCCGAAGCAAGAAGGGAAAGAGGAAGAGAAGGAGGAAGCTCCTCCTCGACGGCAACCGGACCACCGTCGGACCACCACAGAAGCACCGCCGGACCACCGC